TAATTATTACTAATTATAAATTATAATTATAATTTATTCAAGTTATATGCCACCTGACTCCCAGAGACTCTGAGTGGTTTACAAATTGTTAAAAACATTAAAACCATTTAAAAACAAATAACAATACAACCCCACCACCACACACACACAGAACACGGAACAAAATGGTGAAGAAACACACCCAGGTAGAATAAGGAAGAAAAGGTGCGTCAATCATCTTCGCAAAAGGCCTGGGCAAAGAGACACATTTTTAGGGTTCTTCGAAATACCAGTGGGGTGGGGGCTGTTCAAATCTTGGAGGAAAACTACAGTTACACACACACACACACACACACACACACACACACAGATATTTAAAATGTAACCAAGAGGTATCTATAAACTGAATGGTTTCATTTACTCAGTTTGCTTCAGACACACTGAAATGTGTATTTGTCCCTTGTTTATAAGAAATGTCATTGACAACCTTTAAGCCTTAAGATTATCAGAGAGAGAGAGAGAGAGACAGACAGACAGACACACACACACTGTGGAGGATGAAAATATGTAACAAATTTTAAAAAGCAGAATAATTATGTATACATTTCATATCAATTGGGTACTAAAATCTTGACCTCTAAAGCCAAAGGCTTTTATCAATAGGATGATCTTAAAACTGTGATGCAAGTAGCAGATAATTTTACATACTGAATCCTATGAGAAGCTAAAACAGCTAAAATTCTTACACAATTTAATATTTTGTTTACTTGCTGCAGTAGAAATTCTCCCAACTGACTGGATTCACAAATTTAACATCCCTATTACACTTACAGCCAAATAACACAATGTACATCAAATATGTATATAAGACCTGCTTTTCCAGCATGACTTTGGCCTGAGGGGATTATGGGTACCATTATAGATTATTTATAATCTCTGTTTGGTTTGTGCATATTTATTTTTATACTGTTTCCATTGTTTTTATTTTTGTTTTGTGGTGAACTGTCCTAATACTAATACTAATACATAACCATTGGCAGATGTAACGTAATAGTTTTTTACAGAAATTTAGCAAAAAATAAATGGACCTTAATGTCTAGATAATGAATCATAATGTTAAATAGTGCAAAGAATTAAGATGTTTATTCCAAAATTCAATAACTTCTGTAAAAATAAAATATTATAGGAGAAACCATGTTTTAGGAGAAAAGGAAGATGGAAAAACTATTTATTCGTTCATTCACTTATTTACTCCAGTTTATATGCCATGCTAATTTGGAGATTCTGAGCAATTTACAGCAAGCCAAAAATAGGGTTAAAACAATTAGAAACAACACAAACAACAAATAGCATCCAACTTGATGTGCCTATATGTTGGGGGTTGTCAAATCTTCCATCTCACCCCCACATGCTCTCTTGAAGACCCTCATAAAGAAAAACAAACATAAGATGTTTCAGATAATTTCAAGCATCTCGTGCCAGTGGGACAACC